TGCTTAGCACTGCCCTGAACCTGAAAAACCTGAGGACTGCATTCAGGCTCTCCACCAAACTGGAAAACAAACCTTGGGTCTGGTTCAACCTTAACGGTAAAATGCATTTCCGCCGATGACCCCTTCTTGCTTGCGCCCAAAGTGACCCAACCATTGTGCACCACACAAGCCCTGGACTCCGCCCCTCGAAGATCCAGCGGCACGTAGACCTTCCCCAGCAACTTCCCAGATGGAATCCCGCAAGACGCGCCATCGGGAGCAGAGTAGACATCAATTGACAGAACCGGGTGTTTATTGGACACAACTTGCTTCTCAACGAACTTGTCGGTCTGGGTCTTGTTGAAAGTGAAGCAGGCGGCGAGAGAGATGGGATTGGAGGCGCTGAAAGATTCATGGCTTTGGATGTGGGATTGATCATGGTCTAACTGTTGCTGCTGGACTAGAGGTATGGTGGCCATCTGATCGGGGAAAGTTTTGAGCTTGATTTTGCAGAAACATGGGGTTGAAGATGGGTGAATCCTCGAGAGAGAGGGTTTAGAGGAGGAAACAGGAAACTTAAGGGCTAAGTTACCGACGAGGACCCGTACAAAAGGGCACGGATCCATGGATGTCCGGTATGGTTTCAGAATCTGGGTAAGGGGAGTATTGACGTGATCTAGTTCTTGTGAAGAGATGTGGAGCAAGGGAGGAGTGAGGATCTGGTATGGGGTTTTTGGGTTTTGAAGAGATTAAGTTTACCAACTTTAAAAGCAGTAAGATGGAAAATATAAACTGGATTCCATAACAAGAGAGAGAGAGAGATTAGGAAAAACAGGCTGTAATGCCAGCTGGCGTGTGCGTAGCATCTGATAGATAGACGAGAGATGATATGGTGAGGTCAGTTTCACTTGCCACCAATACGCTCACTGTCTAAGATATTTTAAAAATTTATTGCCCAAAAAAAATATATATATATATATATATATATATAAATTGTCAAATTGGCAGCATTTGAATTCGGTTGACCCAAATTTTATAAAAATAAATAAAGATATAAATTAATAAGGTTAATCATAAAATCTAATTTATCATTTATATATAAAAATATTCTTTTGCAACAAATATCAATTTTCTTCCTTGTTATTAAAAGTATTATATAACACAATAATTTTTATTAATTCAATTTATTATTATTAAACTGTAATTTTAAATATTATTAAATTATTAATTAATATTAAACTTCGAAATTGTGACAAATATAAAAACCAAATACAAGAGACACATGTATCATTTTCAACTCTACTTTTTTATTTCTTACATTATGAGCCGACTACAACAAAAATAATTTTTGGAAGAAATGAAACAATTTAAAATTTACAGTTGGAAACTTTATTTAATACTTTGAATGATCAGAGACGGAAATTGTTTTCACCAAAATGAATCATGCTTCGATCATGGCGATGATGATAAGGTGGGTCCGCTTAGACTAATAATAGAATCGAGTCATGGTGTCTTCTACGGCGTCGGATGGATACAAAAGCAGGTGAGCTGGCACCAAAGTTGGCGCACGTACAACAGTTTCCAGCGAACGAAGCATCAACGTCAAAAATTATTCTGGCCTCGTGTCGTTTCCTTATATACCCTTTGTCGTTTCTAGTTAACCCCCACGTACGCTTTGTTTATAAGTAATAATAATTTACTTTTAGAAAATAATGAAAAAGCCCACGTACTACTTAAAATTATTTTTATTTATTTTTTTTAAATTGAAGTGCATCTTTAAATTTTCAAAATTAACGTGGATTAGTCCTTAAAATTAACACTGTCATTGTTATATCCATGCGGGCAGCCACGTTAGCATAATATATATATATATATATTAATAATTTGAATGTAACGTGTCTATTACATCAGTAATTTTTTTTTATACGCGAATTAAAACTTGTATTTGAATAAGAAGAAAATAGAGGGACCAATATAAATAAATTTAAATAGTAGAGGGACTTTTTAATTAAATTTCCGTTTTCAGGAAAGAAGTTGATAGATAATCACTCGTACTGTTTACAACGCAATCTAAAAGCAAAGCTGTCAGTTCCCAAATGGTTAACAGCTGTGACCACGTCGCGGCTGACCCAAATAAACTTTTAACCACCCGTTGGATTTATTTATGTGTTTTAGACTTGAAGGGACCCACTAATCATAATTACCCGTTTTAATTAAAATTTAATTTCTTTAATTATGCAGGGATTCCAACCTTTATGTCAGATGAATATTTTAAATTGAAAAATCTGGCATTTTTTATTTAAGAAAAATTAAATTAAATTAAAAATTCATATTTTAAATGATTTTTTTTGTGTGAAATTTTTATACCTGCTGTATAGCATTATTCTTATTAAAATTGAACTGAAGTAGACAATTAACTGATCCAATATCAATAAATCACTTAATCAATTCAATTTTGTAAATAAACTAGCAAATATAAGACTTGGTAAAAATAAATAAAAAGTACACCTTAGGTTAAAATTAACTTGGTCACTTATGATATTAGATTTTAGTTAAAAGTAATTAACCTGAAACTATACCAACTAAAATTTCCTCCATTTTATTCACAAAATTTATACTAATGATTATATAGACCATCGAAATAAATATTCGGACGTAAAAAAAAAATAAAAGAATCTATTAGTAAAAATCATTCACTCATATCAATGATTTTTCCATTAGTATATATTGGATCTATAAATGATGGTAATTGTTCTTTTTCGTTTCTATCCCAAGTGTCTACTAGCAGTATAAAATTTAAATATTATATTTATACTATTAATTAAATCATAAACATAATTACTTTAATCATTAAAACAAAGGATTATGAATGTAAAATGGTAAATATAATTAAAATGCATAAATTTTATAAAATTTATAAGTTCATTTATAATATTATTAAATTGAATTTAAAGTGAGAATAAATTTTTACTGAAAGTTAACTACATCATTATATTTATATAAAAAGTTTCAACTCAAAACTTAAAATTTACAACATGAGCTCCATTATCTGTAATCTTTACATTACTCAAAAATTCTTAACAAATCCAAAAATGAAAATTAATATTGTTAGATAATAAAAAAAAAAATGAATGTGTTATAAATACTTAAGCATCAAACACACGTTAAAAAAAAAAAAAAAAAAAAAAGCAAAAGTGTACATTGAATCTAATTCATAAATAATTTTTTGTTGTCAAAGCTTTAGCAATACCCAATTACTTTTACGACTCATATAATTTTATTATCTAACTATAACTCAAGTAAGAAAATAAGCTATTATAAACTAAATGAACTCCACAACTTCTTAACAATATGGCCATATTGGTAATAAGATGTGCATTATGTCAATTTTTTTTACCTCTTATAAGGCCATGCCATCTCAAAGCGTTCCTTCTCCTCCTTGCCTTAAATTAAAGAAAAAAAAAAAAAAACTTCATTCTTCACAAATGCACAAGAGAAAAAAAGGCACGAAACAAAGAGAAAAAATTTATTGTTGCAACAAGAGAGCTTGAGAAGAAATAGAAGGTTGACAACAACATGAGCTGGCTTTATACGAGTAAGGACAAAGATTGTGGTCGAGGAATCTTGAATTCGTGATATACGCATAATTTGTGAGTTTATGAGAACCTCGTGAAGATTTAGAACATATGACCAAGATCGTGAGTGTTCGCCTGTCAATGGCATTGAAGATTGCAACTTGTATTCTAAGGGGGAGATGAGAGAGAAAAGTGGAAAAAAAAAGTCACTATTAGATT